ATGCATGTAAAAAATAATTCTTTTTTTATTATTTTTCCACATGATAATAAACTATTAAATCTACAATTATCTATATATAAATAGGCAAAGACAAAACAGTTCCAGTACCTTGTTCTTCTCAGTTTGTCAATCGATTATCTTTTTTTTGTTTAGTAGCTACAGACTGAGTTTTAATGTTATGAATGAAAAAAGTTTGGAAACGTTTTTTTTATATTATAGATAGGTAAGCTTTATTTAACATGTTTTCCTGAAATTCAACAAACAAATATAAATACATTAAAAGGTCTAATACGTAATGTAAGTTAATCGAAATAAAATTCTAATATGTATTTTACATTTTAAAATGATGTTAATGATAAGTTCCGACAAGCAATAGACATGTACAGAAATAATGACATCGAAATATGAAAAACATAAAACGTAACCTTTGAAGACTATATTTGTAATACTTGATGCTACTTTAATTATAATGTACCAGTTTGCTTGCGTGCTTATTTGTGTATAATACTCTACTTCTGAAGATCATAGCATAATGTTAGATATGCTAAAACCCCAAAAAAATCGAAAAAATCTGACTACAATAATTATTATATATTTCTAATTAGCAGTACTCTCGGCTGCGCCAGCGTTCAAACATCCGATTGCTACCAAACTTCACAGGATCTAAAATTATCTCTAATTGCCTTGGAAATCTAAATATTGCCTGAAAATTTCATCCAAATTGCTCCAGCCGTTGAATGTATATATATAAAGTTTTTTATATGTCTTACATACCTACTCGTCAAAAGTTATTGTAATTGTAAATGTGTTATTAAACAAAGGCACTGCGATTTCATATCCTTCTAGGATTTAATCATTAAATGTATTAAATGAAATTATATATGTAAAAATTAAACAAACATTGAGAAAATTTTGCTCAAAATCGATTCAGTCATAATACTTTCTTAGATTTACGCGAATGTTTGACATTATTAAATAAAACTATCTTTTCGGATTATTTCGCGGATTTATTTTGATTTTTGGCAACCTAACCTAACCAAAAATCAAAATAAATCCGCGAAATAATCCGAAAAGATAGTTTTATCGATTCAGTCATTTATTTTTTGCGGAATCTTAGAACATATTCTATTACTTCATAGTTATTTAAACAAATCAGAACCTCATCCTTGTGATCAGAGCAAAACATACTTTATATTCGGTATTCGAAACTGCTAAGTTCAAGAAATAAAAGTGATTCCATGGTGCCGCATTAGATGATGAGTATCTCCATCCAGAGTCTCACTTAATACCATGGGATGAAGTAAGGTAGGTAGTATGCGTAAATGTATTTTCCAACTTAAAATTAATATCTTATAATTGCTATCAACGGCTTAGAAAAGATAACATCTTATTATCACTAGCAAAAAATATATGGAAATGATTTTGAATATTTTAAGCATTGAAGAATAATTTCGAAATTTATAATTTTAAGTCAAAATTTAAATATATTTTCTTCAATACCAAATAAGACATCACTTCTTTATTACTTCGATAAATAATTTTCCAAGTGAATAACATAATAATACAGTAGCCTTGTGAGCAGTGGGTAGGTCATTATACTACAAAGTTAAGAATATTAACTCAAATAAAAAAAATATTATCAAAAACCATGTTCAATATATTATCGATATTGAAAAAATTATGTATATTGCTTTTTTTATGTTTTCAGCAAATACTCATTCATGTCTAAAGTACTTATAAAGGAAACAATGAGTTTGATTATAATATTATATACGGCTTGAGGCTTGAACGGCTTATATACTATCTATACCTACATACGAGTATAATAAAATTCTGAGCCGAATCTGTACACTTTTTCGGAAAATCTTATAGAGGAAGAGCTCGTGAACGCCAGACCTTCGTCATTTTATAAAAGCTGAAAGTTTGTCAGCGCATGCTCCCAACACAGATAAGAACGATGGACCATTATGAAGTTCAGGCTATGGTGGCTTTGGCAGGTACACGGTACTAAAGGTGAGTAAAATACCGATCTAAATTCGTCAAATAATAAAGTGTGATTTTTTGGTATTACCTTCAGAATATTATTAAAAATCACGTCATTCAACGCCAGACACTTAACATCGTGGCAAACCCTTGCCAGACATCCTTTTCATGAAATCATAATTCTACGTACGTTATAGTATAAAAGCTGATTTTTATATATAATACTTGGGTAATAATTAGATGATTTATAAGACTGCTAGCATAGCATTTATTACACACCATGAAAAATGTTCCAAACAAGTTGGGAGGCATTTCTAAGAAAATGTTGAATATGGTCACCAAATTTGAAGCGCTAAGAATTGACTTTATTTTTGATATATATATATATATATATATATATATATATATATATATATATATATATATATATATAATAAAGATTAAATTTGCCCGCGGTACAATCAATTGGAAAGCTTTGGTGGTGGTTGACGGATATCATATTTATTATTATGGCAAACTCAGGGCGTCCCATTAATATGATATATGATATCATAAAATACTCAAAATGTAAAAATCCTTATAAGCTTTAAGTTTCTTAATTTAATTTTCTGTCTCAATCGGAACCATACAGGGATTTGCCATATTTTCATATAATCTATTAAAATTAACGTAAATTAACATATTTAATATATTTCTAATCAATTTTCAACGTCACTTCTAAATTAATTATGAACAATATTTCATTAGGCTATCCATGTACGGTGGCAACCTTCTAATGATCTGTTGCTATATTAAACTACCGATCGACGATAATACCACAAGGAAATTGAGAATTTCTTAGAAATTTAAAAATCTGTGAAATAAATAAATTGCTGACATTTATTTTTTTTATGCATTTTGCAAAATATTGTAAGACTGTGGGCCTTTGGTATCAGAAAAAATTGAATAACCCAAGGCCTGATATAGAGCTGTTCAATATCGATACTTATAAACTACTATGTTCTCTATAAAACAGTTTGATAGAAGCGGATTGCAACCTGTATTCACAAAATATAAATCTGTACTATATTATAAAGAGGTAAAGTTTGTTTGTAAGTATTTGTGAGGTTGTAGGGGGTAATCTCTGGATCCACTGAACCGAGTTCGATGAAATTTAGTAAGAAAATAGTTTGAGACCCTATAAAGGACATAGGATACTTTTTATCTCGACAATCATCCCTTAAAGGGGTGAAAATGGGGATGAAAGTTTGTATTGGGAAGCAAGCTAGGGACGAACCCGAGCGAAGCGAGAGTGAATCACTAGTCTCATATTATTATATTACTAGCGACATACCCTCCCCACCTCAAGAGCGTTCCTGGTTACCTTTTGTATTTAAACATAATATTAAGTATACAAAAGTGGCACTTTTTAGTAATTTTTAATACTATCACATAGTAGTGTAAAAAGCTCAAAGCTTTACTTGTATAGTGTTGTCACGGTCAGTGATCTAGATGAGTCAGTAAACTAAAATGAAGCTACACATTTTAGGTAACAAATACCCTAAGCCTTGGAAATTAATTGATTTATTCAAAATAGAACGTTTTAGTCATATCCATTTCAATAATGTGTGTCGACAGCCGAATCTTTTAAATTGTTAGTTTTAGTTTAATTTTCAAATAGAAGATTTGTAAATAGAAAATAGATACTTATACTCGCGTTATAAATAATTAATTAAAGTATAATTAAATTTAAATGGTGAACGGGATAGGACGTTTTATTTGTAATTGCCATGTTAGTTCACACGACCGAAGTTGTGGGTACAGTAGAAGTGATGATGAAGATATCCTCCTGACCCATTTCTGCCACGGCGGTCAATCACTAAGACGAGCCACGTGCATAAGAGATATTATAGTGCATAAGTATGTGTAAAAACAATTTAATACGACCGGTAAGAGATGAGGCGTAGTATCGACATCTTTACATGCTCTACAAGGCATGGAGGTGAAACACCGTATTTATTGACAGAAAAACTCGAGAATAAGCTTGGCTTCACCCGAGACTCAAACCCAGAGCCTCGCGATCTGCAGCCGTACATGCTGGACACCGATCTTTGGACCATCGAAGCGTTAGTATTAATAAGGTTTATATAAATAAAGTATATACATATTGTATCTTAGCTCTATATTTAATTGAAAATTTTCATTAATATTACAAACAATATATATGTATGTATTTTAAACCTGCAGAAATAAAAACTTACGTTATCAAGTAGGTTGAAATGTAAGCTCGCTGCAGACCTTATAACATTTCGATTATCGATTTGTCGTATGACTTTTAACCCGTACAAATTGACACAAATTAACATCAAAACGTGGCATAATATCTTATATAGAGGATAGCTTCTGCCTGCAAATTCATCAACAGATTCTGAATTTATGAATATTGAAAATGTTTTCCATGAAAATTTTAGCAGTACATTTAAGGTTTTTAAACTATATGAGAATAGTAACTATGCTTAGTTTTGACAAGTGCATCATATACATATTAAAAAAAACAAACAAAACAGATACAAAATCTGTGTGATTTTGTACACACACACATACACACACACGCACGCACGCAGTACATGCTAAGTCAAAGGGTGCAGGTTCAATTTTCGCAAGAGACAAATGTTTGATATCAGTGTAGTTTTACTAACGCATTTGAATATATATACAACCAAGAATATTTTATTGCAACCGTAATACAGGGAGTTGATTGTAGATTCACAATCTTTTCTGTTTTCGACAGAAAGTAGGTGATGAAGAAATGGACGATCCCTGCCTCCCGTGTAAAGCTAGAACTATTTACTTTTTTTGTGTAACGTATTACTAATCTTAATCCTAAAATGTACACGGTAAATAAGATCGAACGTAAACAATGATATTTGGCGTGCAAAGCTATATATGTTAGGAGGATGCGCGCGTCGGTCAAACGAGTTGCGCCTGCGCACGGTTTGTGTTGTGTGTGAATATGCAGTGAGTGGATCTCAGGCGATATGGTGAGCTTCACTTATTTTATTGTTCATTAAGTTTTTTTAGCTTTAAAAATATTACAGGTTGATTTATTAATGATTTCACGATCGATTCCAGGTAAATAATTAGATATGAAGAATCATGATTTTATATCTTTTATTTTTCAAAAACATCTTCCTTAGAGTTTTGAATTTATTTTGCATTAATTTAAATTTCTTGGCAACTTTTCCAATTATAACTACGGGTTACGTTTTGTTTTAAGTCTTTTAAGAAAATAAAAAATGCGCATTATATATTAAAATTAAATAGTAATATTATTTTAAATATATGAATAATATAAACAAAATTACACGAATGATTTTATTTTAACAAAGCGTTTTATTTAGTACTTTATTTTTTTTAAAACAATAACAGTATTTTTATATTTTTTTTAATACGAAAGATTTCAATTACTATATATACAAGTTTTGTCGTAAATATGTGGATTTACAATTTAAATTTAATTCTAGGTCATCTTGCCTTTGACCATATGTTGCAGCAGCATTACCAACACATAGTGTGTACGGAGAAAATACATATTCATATATCTTGTAGGAATTGAGTCATTAGCTAAAACAATGTTACAAGTACACTTGCACTTATAGTACTTAAGTTCTGTAAAAACTTATTTATAAGTAGACTAGCGTTGCCCGCGGCTCCGCACGCGTTCAGGTGACCGAAAAACAAATTCTTAGGTTTTACATATTAGTATACTCTTACATTGCAATTTTTGTATTTTTTCTCAGAAATGAGACATTTTTCAGTTTTCTATATGTTCCTTTTACAGTAGTTTCATTTTACAGTATTCTATATGTTGACCCGGATAACCAGCTATCACCATACCAAATTTCATCAAAATCCCTCCAGTGGATTTTCCGTGATGCGGTAACAGACAGACAGACAGACGAAAATTCTAAAAACTATAGATTCGGCCTTTGTATCGATGATAAAATCTATTTCAATAAGATTTTCCAAAAAATATTTAATGTACAGATTCGGCTTAGTTACAATTTTATTATATGTATAGATTTTCGAAATTAAAACGGTACAAATCAATAAAATGTTTTTGACACGTTTTAATATTAATTTATTAATATTAATATATTAATATTAATTTAATGTTAATTAATTTTAAATTAATATTGTTTCTAATTACGTATATGTATATTACGATTAAACTCTATCGATACATTTCAAAATACTCAAGTAATTTTCCTTTTATTTTGCAAAAGTCGCCAAAAATATTATTCATACAAACTATGAGTAAAATACACAAAACACAGATGTCGATATTTTATGTTTCGAATCGAAGATGCTGTAAATCGCGGTGTTACCTCACATCAACAATGCGACGATGCGTTTTCGAAACTTATCGAATGACTTTAACCATACTCTTTACTTGTCAGTTACGGATAATAAAATAATAATTATACTTATATAATATTTATTACAACCCTTTACACTATAAAAAATCTATACTATAATATTATAAAATGACAGAGTTTGTTTGTTTGAACGCGCTAATCTCAGGAACTACTAATTCGATTAGAAAAATCTTTTTGCATTAGATAAGCCCCTTTATTGAGGAAGGCTATAGGCTATATAATATCATCATGCTACTACGCACGGGAGCGGAGGAGTAATATAATATATCTATCTATTCCATACTAACTGTTAAAATGTACCTAGGGACAAACCCGAGGCAAGCAAGGGTGAGCCACTAGTCTGTATAATAAATATTAAAAATGTGAAAGTTTGTGAGTGTGTATGGATGTTTGTTACTCTATCCCGCCAGAAAGGCCCAACAGATCTGGATGAAATTAAGCACAGGGATAGATTATAGTCTGGAATAACACATAGACTATTTTTTATCCCGGAAAAATATACGGTTCCCGAGGGATAGTTTTGTTTTTTATTTTCTAGAGGCGAACCCGAGCGAAGCTAGGGTGAGCCGCTAGTTATACATGTAATAAAGATGTATCTCTAGTAACTTTAAACAAACAAAAATACAAACAGTTTGTTTATCGTAAAATTTATGTCAGGTTGAACTTGATGTAATATAAATTTTACGGTATACAATTGGCAAGATGTCACGTATACAGAAAAACATACACCCCAATAATAAATCCATACTAATATTCTAAATATGAAAGTGTGTTTGTTTGTTTGTCCTTCTTTCACGTCGCAGCAGCGTCATTAACATGATTTTTTGTGTGGAGATAGTTGGAGGGATGGAGAGTGACATAGCATACTTTTTCCCGCAGCAGATTATCTCATTCCCATGGGAAAATACGACAAAACGAAGCGAGGGTGAGTCGGCCAGTTGTGAATAAGAAAAAAAATTGTCATAAATTCATTTAATTGGAAGATGTCAACAACATACGAAGTCTGTAATGAGCACTTGCTATTTTTTGACACGTTAGTATGCACAATACGTCATTCGGCAAATTAAGAAACCGACGGCACAAAAAATTAAGAAATTACTGCAATGTAATAAATAATAGTATCTGACAACTATCGTGGTTTTGACGATAATGATTCGACCTTGACATGTGTCGTCGAATGTCAGAGAAGCTCCAGTGCGCAGAGGCCATAAGTTCGATTACGCTGAGTGTTAAATTTAATTTGTAGTAAAAATGTACAAATAAATTAATAATTTATAAGCTTATTTACACAATTATATTCACGTTCCAAATGTGCAATTATATTAAAACCATCGGAAGTAACGAGCACTAACCACGATAAAATATTTTAAACTAGCGGCTCACCTTTTAAAACACTTACCTGTGAAAACAAACGTAAACCTATCCCACGGGAACCGTACATTTTTCCGGGATAAAAGTAGCCTATGTATTATTCCACACTATAATCTATCTCTGTGCCGTCTGTGTTTCATCCAGATCCGTTCAGCCGTTCTGGCGTGAAAGAGTAAAAAACATCCATACAAATTTTTACGTTTATAATATAATAATAATAATTTTAAATAAAACTGTTTTTTCAGATTATTTTTTTGCGAAGTTATTTTAATTTTTGGTTCCCGATGTTGATAATGCTTTATCATGGTTACGGGAGAAACGGGGTCTCCGTCCTCAAAAAAAAATCGCGAAAAAGTCCATAAAAGAAAGTTTTATTTAAATGTCAAATATACGCATAAATCTAAGAAAGTAATATGCGATGAAAATATTTATATCAATACTTAAAAACAAGTTATATAAATCAGCAAAATCGAGCTCGGTGTAACAAAAAAATTTTTTTGTTTATTTTAAGCTTATACTTCAATATATTATATGTAAATTATATGTATAAATAAAAAATAAACTACATGTATACATTAACATGTACATAAAAAATAATTGTTTTAACAATACTTTAAAATATTATATATCGTGTAAATGCCTGCGGAAGATTGGCACGTGTGACGTAAGAAAGGCCGAGGAAAGGTTACAGACATGCAAAGCAATAACACTTACCTCTACCGTCACTTATTGTGCAGCAATTTCACTTTTAACTGCATATGTACAATATTGATTTATATTTAAAAGATTGCTTTGCTATGTAGTATTAAGTGTTATAACATGGAAAATTATAGTTATTGGAATTTGGACTCGCTTCGTAACGAAGGATTAATATATCGAACTCAAGAACTTAACTAAAAGGTTAACTTTTCAAAGAGTTAAATGGTGAAGGTAGATTATTTTCTGCAAACAAAAATAACTATGTGTTATAATATTTATTGAATTTACTAGCTTTAATATAATTTACATATATTTAAAGTAAGTTTAACCAGAAAGATACAATGGTTTTTTAATCCATCAGGGGACTGAATTGCAAAAATTCTTTCGTAATAATTAAACATTTTCGTACAGAGGGAACGTTATGCCTTTAGGTTCAGCGTTTTATTAGAACAATATTTTATTATAAAGATTATTATATAATACAACAAATATTGTGTATTCAGTTTAACGTCCCACAGCTGGGCATGGACCCTTCAATACGAAGGGGAATCAGGCTTTTAACCCACCACGCTGGCCAAGTGCGAGTTGGCAAACTACACATTTCTTTCGAAAACTTACTAAGTTTTCTCGGGCATGCAAGTGTCCTCACGATGTTTTCCTTCACCTTAAGAAAAGTGGTAATCATGTTGGAAATGATGATGCACATGAAAATATCGCTCCACTCGGTTTACCAAGTAAGCGCGTTACCACTGAGCTACCACTCCCTCTACAGATCATTAAAATAACACATATTCACATATCAATAAAATATTATTTTACAATTATCGTGTTAAGTATTCTATCCAATTTTTTATTAATCTGTTTGTGATCTTTGAGTTTATCCTGTAGAAAATACCTCAGACATTTCTGTAGAAGAAGTACTTTCAGTTTTCCCAAATTCCCTTTCAATTATTCTGGGCTAATATCTATTTTTCCACCTTAAAATTTTACTAACATTAGTGGAAGTATTAATAATATTAAAAAAAAACCAAATCGGTACAGCCGTTCTCAATTGATGCGCTTACCGACAAACAGAGCAACAAAAATAGTAAAATACGAAGTAAACTCTAAAATGTCAATAGAGTGCTAAAGCTGACCTTTCTTACGACCTTCACATACAGACACATCTCCTATATATTATTATTAAGCAAATAATCATAATATAATTATATTAAAGCTTGAATTAAAGTTCATAGGAAGTTGGTAATTGCGACTCGATAGTGTTTACTTTTAGTCCTTCTAAGACTAATCATAGCTAATATACATAAAATAAGTTTATTTGCCCTTCTCTATGTATTAGGTTTGTTTTTAGCAACTTTAAAGGTAAAAGATACTCGGTTTCGGTATATTTTCTTTAGGTGTATGTGTAACGCGATATTTTCTAAAATTGAGAACAGATTTTTAAGCTTCTTTTTTTAATACAAATATCTGAATCATCAAAAGTTTTATTTAAATTTGATTTATTTTTATTTAAATAAAAAAAACTCACCTAT